GAGTTGTAAACAAAAGAGCATTTTAAACTTGGTCACTTAACTACACTTACTTTGATCTAGTCTCTCTGTGCAGGTGCTTCTTGCTCTATCAATTCCTAACTATTTTGAGGCACTGAACCTGGAGCTAGGCTGGCAATCAGCAAACCCTAGTGATCATTCTGTCTCTACCCCTCCTGCTAAGGTTACAGGGGTATGCAGCCATACCTGACCTTTTAGACAGGCGTTGGGAATTTAAACTCAGGTCCTCATGCTTCAGCAGAAAGAATGCTTATCCACTGAGTATTTCCCAGGCCCTCTTTTGTGATTTTCAAAAGTAGGAGTTAGCAAGTAGATGCAAGAACTTTGTATATAATAAAAGCTGTTGTTTCAAACCAATAGAGAGTGGATGGATACTTTAATAGTTCTTAAATGACTAGATAGCTAGTAGAAGAGAAGAGGAATTGGATTTTTATTTTACTTTTTATTTCCTAATAAATGTCAAATGTAGGAAAAATAGAACATTAAAAGAAAAAAAGAGGTCTTTAAAAATATCCAAAATCATAAGAGAAGAAAAAAATTTAAGAGAAAACCAAGTGCTTCATAAGCCCAGAAGTCAGAATGAGAAAAAAGCATAACTGTAAGATGGCTTCTGAAGTTCTTCAGGGAATAAGAATGTAAAAGGCAGAGGACATTAAAAATCTGGGAAAATATCTGAGACACTCATGAAAAGCAGAGCTGTAACCTTCTACATTTTCCAACACAGGAAAAAGTTTCCAGGCAAGACAGCAACAGTTGCCATGGGAAAGCTATCATGCCAGAAACGATGACTGTCCTCACTCCCAACAACCTGAGTTCACAGGAAGATATACCGCAGGTAACCTGCCTGATATGTCAAATGAAACTAATAATATACCATGTGAGCAAAGTTCAGTACCAATATACTGGCAGCCATGCTGGATAATGTCATTTGGAATATAATTTCTGAAAGACCCACCCACTTTTGGCATTGTCCACCAACACTCAAATGGCTCACCCTTCTGGATTGGCAATCCTACTTCTAGGAATGTATTTTACTTAAACAAGTATGCCTCTGGACTACACAAACTACAGTGCCTATGAATGAGTAACAAGAAATCATGGGAAAGATGATGTATACTCAGTAAGGACTACTACACAGCTTTGAAAACAACCATGTAACTCTGAATGCAGGCAACACTATCCCTAGATTGGTTTCTTGCACTGGATAGAAAGGAGAGGAATATTAGGATTTATGTCTGTTTCCTGACCAAGAATGCAATGTGACTAGTTGCTTTATGCTCCTGCTGCTACACCTTCCTGGCCATAATTGGTTGTACCTTCAAACTACAAGCTAAAATAAACCTCTCCTCCCTTAAATAATGATCAAGTGTATCTGTTATATAACTATGGGATTGCTGCTAAAATATAGCAAGTACACTTTTAAATATTCCAGTGCAGAAGTGTATACAGCAACAATGTTACTTTAACTGGTGTGATCAAGTACCCCAAATAAGACAACCCGAAGCAGAGAGGCTTCACTTTGGTTCATTGTTTGGGGAAACAGAGACCATCATGGTGGGGATTGGCTGGTAGGAGGCCATTTCTTGGTGGCAGGAGCAGCAGGTGGCTCATATTTGCCACATCTTAGAGGAACAGGAAGCAGAAAGCTGATGAAAGCTATAAACTACAGGGCTCACCTCACAATGACCCACTTCTTCTAGTCACACTCTACCTCCCAAAGCAGCTGTGAAGCAAGTGTGCAGACAGAGGAGGCTGTGAGCAACGTTCCATGTTCAAACCATAGCAGCACATGATCATCTGTGTTTATGAAACACAGGTGAGTAATGTTTGAACACTGCAAAGAATAGCAGTGCTTAACCAAGCTCAGTCATTTTTGTACCATTGTTTTGTTTTATTTTTAAGTTTTTACATGTGCATGTAGAAACATGCATAAATGTCAGGGTACATGTGTGGCCATCGGAGAATAAGTTGTAGAAGTCAGGTCTGCTACCATGAGACTAGCAGTATCAGAGTATGGTAGTCAGGCTTGGATGTAGGACCTTTAGCTGCTGCCCATCTCGCTTGACCCTACTTCAATTATTATTATTATTATTATTATTATTATTATTATTATTTTGCTGGACGCATAAATTATATAATTGGCTATACAGAGACAGGGTGGGGGAGAACTTTATGGAATCTATTATTCTTTAGACTTTCTTGGACCAAAGTTCTATTTTTTCTTAATGTCAGACAAAATGGCCATTTACCATCTGATCAGTTGATATGAAAATTTCTCTAATTGCAGTTTCCGTACAACTGTTATAGGCAAAGGCTGAGTCAGGGGACATGGTTAGCAGTTGCTAATGGGCATGGGGTTTCCTCTTGATGTGATGAAAATATCCTGGGGGTGGATAATAGTGACATTTCTACAAATCTGAGAATATACTGCAAACCAATGAGCTCTGTACTTTGCATGGGTGCACCATAGGCATATGAATCACCACCTAGACCTGATATTATAACCCAAGGTATCTAATACTCCTGGACCCTTTGGCCTAGGAGATATCTGATAGATGTGAATAAATATATGTTCTACCTCATGACTCTGGAAGCTTCCATATCAAATGCAAGCATTTCCAGGAGAAATGACTCTGTAAAGTTGCTCACATTGTTAAAAGGACAACCTCACATGGGCACACCTCAGTGTATTGCCCAAGGTCCCAACTGTGCTCACCATGTTCTGTGCTAGGTAATGCAGTGCTGGTCCAAGCCCATCCCTGCCTAGCTGGGGGCTTGGAATCTCAACTGCCATTGTCTTTTATGTGTCTCCTTCCTGTGCATAGACACTTCTGGTATCTTTCAGAGGAACCTTTCCTGTTACTGGCCTTCTTTCCTCTTTCTCCTTCCCCTCCTCCTCCCTTCAGGGGGCTGAAGTGGCTATTGGACAGCAGCTGAGAGCATAACAAATGTGCTATTCTGAGAACCAAGGCCTACATTAATTACTCTAGATGGGTGTTGGGGCTGCTTCATGGACCACTCCTAAGTTTTTAAGTGTGATTCTAGGTCTGCAGCTGGGCTGCAGGTGGATGAAGACACCACACAATGGGAAGAAGCTGCATGCTCATCTCTCTCTCTGTCTCTCTGTCTCTCTGTCTCTCTCTCTGTGTGTGTGTGTGTGTGTGTGTGTGTGTATGTATACACTCAAGTGTATCTGTATAGCCCTGGGGACAGAACCCATGGCAGTGGGCATGCCTAACAATATTCCACCACTGAACCACACCCAATGTCAATGCACTTTTGAATCCTGAAGCTTAATGTTGACTCCTGACCCTGGATTCTAATGGCTGACTCACATTCATGGGTCTTTTTAGCTGGTGGGTAGAGGTCTCTCTTACCTTTCCCTACCTGGGCAGTAAAATTCTGCTCCACCAGGTTTTGTCTTCTCAGAAAGCAGCTGGCAAGTTGTATAAGGTTCAGGGCTTTAGTGTCTGTTTGCAATAAACAGTGTGCCAGATGAGCACCACCTTCTTATTCTTGGCAAACCTCAACACCATGTGCTCTAATGGCCTGCACATTCCTTGAATCTCCCCATAGAGCTGGTTCACTTTGTCACTCAGTGCTACTGTCTTAGGTTGCCATTATCAAAAGGCACTGGTCAGTTTGTCTGTAAATTTGACAGTCTTTCTACCACTCCTAAGTATTTTCGGGCTGTCCCCTCATGTCTATATGCAGCTGAGTCCAGGCATATTAGGCCCTCAGGGCTGGCTGGCTTTGGATGATCAGATATCAGGTCGTATTGTTCAGTGACTGCTCCCTGACCAATGCAAACTGTGGAAATCTTTCTCCTAGGGGTTCTGGAGCCTGGGACTAACATTCACATTAATTTTCTTACCTTAGGGAGTCCAGTACCCCAGGGAGACTGCATATTCACCTGCTTGTTGCATAGGCCTGTGGTTGGATTTATCATGGGTGACTACTTTATCCCTCACCAAAAGGCCCTGCTTTTTGGTCAGGGTCTGGGTTTTAGCACTCTGCTTTATGGAGGCCTCTGCATAGTTGCAAGAGACCAAGCTGTCAGTCCTTCCCCATTTCAGCCCCAACCCCTAGACCACAGAGTACAGCTATCAGTACTATTTGTATGCAGGCAGACTTAAGTGATTTCCCTTTCTTATTGTTCTACATACATATATGTCTTTTGAAAAACCAGGTTCTATTCTGGCTACTCCAGTCAAACGTTTGTGTTTAGAAGACTAACTCAGTCAATTGTGTTAACTAAAACCCTTTTTATATAGAGTGCACATGTGTGTTCATTTTATTTTCATGAATGATGTGAAATGCTGGGAGAGTGATGGGCTTCTGTGCTGAGGACAAAACCTGAGACCTACTTAGTGGCTCATTTGAAGAATGAAGTGTTACATAATTACAAGCAAGCTTTCTGGGGGCAGGGATATAGGCTCAATGGTACTGTACTTGCTTACCATCTATGAGGCATTTAGCACTATCCTCTACAACACACACACACACACACACACACACACACACACACACACACACACACCACCACCACCACCACCACCACACACACACACACACACAAAGATCACACTTTTATGAGAAGTTCTTTGAGTGTCTTTGTGTGGTGTGCACACATATGTGGAGATCCCAGGTTAAAGTCTGAAGTGTTCTCTGATTGTTCTTTTTATCTTATTCATTGAAGCAGTGTCTCTCAATTAAATCCCGAGCTAGTTAGATAGCTTAGGGGATTCCCCCATCTCTGCCGCCCAAGGCTGAAATCACAGGCAGACTGTTAAACACACCCAGCATTTACATAAAATTTGAAGATTCAACTCCAGCCCTCATGATTGCGAGGCAATAGCATTAACCACTGAGCTATCTTATCTCCCCAGTGCACAAAAGCATGCTTTCTCACTTAGGAAATAGGGAAATACAGAATGCAGTAGGTAAAGAGAGAAATCTGCAAGGTGTCACTTGCACGGTACCTTTTGGCTCCTCCAGCATCTGGGGAAACGATGATACAGTTTCTCCATTCTGTGATGTTCTCCCGAATCCACTGAAGAACTGCAGGTTCGGCATATAAATTATCCACAGGAATATCAAAGAATCCCTAAGGAGAGAAGTCAACGTCACTTTGCAGATTTGTTTTCTGATTGAATCTGAGATTTATTAGAGTTCATGATTGGAAGGGTCAGTAGTTCATCACAGTGGAAACCCTCACGAGTGCAGGGCTCATCACGTGTCTGAGAGGCCATGATTGGAGACATATTTGGCCCATATTCATTGGGAAAAAGCTGTATCTCAGCTACTATGCTTTCCAGTTTATCTACATTAAAATTGGTGAAGTCTCAACTCTTTTGAGATGTACATTTTCCGGCAGCCAGGGAACTTGAATTTGACCCCATGTAGGCTCTCAATCACATGGTCCTTTTCCTGTTGGTTGGTACAGATCAACATGATAGCCTGGCCACTGTGCCCTGGAACTTCTCAAAGGTGATCCATATACCTGTCTGAAGCCTAGACTGGAGACAGCATGAGATAAGAGACATGACTATCTACCAGAAACTTATATTTCTAAGGTTGTTTAGAGAAACCCATACATGCAGCCTCCTGAGTAGGATGCTATTTACAGCCACTGAATACCAGGCCCCATGAGGAAAGAAACTTAGCTTAATTGGACATAGATTTTTGAAAAGATAAACTATTTCTAAATAACATTTGAATTATTTTCCATAGGATACTTTTCTGTAACAGGCTCCCTTTGGCTAATTATAATGGAATTAAACCTAATGATAAAGATGTCACGAGATTATCATTTGGTCCAGTACATTTTCTGGGCATGCTCTGCTATGTGATGGCCAGTGCCCCAAGGGAAAGAACAGCACTGCAGAGCAGAGGGGAAAACAGGTGTCTTTTTGTTGTTGTTGTTCTAGCACTTACCTGATGGGAGATGTCATTCTGTAAATATGTTTCTCTTATTGGATAATGAATAAAGCACTGTTGGCCAATAGGAAAGCAAGATAGGCAGGGATATGAGACAAGGAGGAGAAAGGAAGTAGCAGGGAGGAATCAAGATGGAGGACAGAGAGCAGAATGGCAGACCCCGTCTCTCTGGTAAGATAAGACCACGTGAATGTACTTAGATTAATAGAAATGGGTTAATATTTAAGATAGAGCTAGCCAATAAGAAACTAGTAACTGGCCAACAAAACTTATATCAAATACAGCGTCTCTGTATGTTATTTGGGGCTGGTGTGGCTCTGTGCCCAGGTCAGCGGGGGGGGAAAAACATACTCCTAACACCACAAATAAAATCCTTCACATTCATTATATATCATAAGTAGGTACAGTGAAATGTGGCCTGTTTTAGTGATAAAAGAGGGAAGTTATGAAAAAATAAAAATGTATTTGCAGGACTGGGGAGATGGCTCAGTGTGTGAGTGTGTAAAGTATATGTACAAGCAGGATGTCTTGAACTGGAATCCCCAGAAGCCACGGAAAAGCTGGGTATGAAAATGTACATTCTGTAACACCAGTGCTGGAAAAGCAGAGGCAGGAAGAAGATCCCTAGAGTTCATTGGTTAGCCAACCTACCTGAATTGATGAGCTCTGGGTTCAGTGAGAGATCCTGTCCTAAAAGCTAAGATGGAGAGCGATTGAGGAAGACAGCTAGTGTTGCGCAATGGCATTCCCATGTATGTTCATACATGATGCACACACACATACACAATGCATACTACAATGCTACCATTTTAACTACTTTACAGAAATTTAGATGGAATCACAAAGCACATTAAATATAAAACCATTCCAGCTGCTTTGAAATGAACTGGAGGCAGCAAGGTGTGATAGGGATGGTAGCATCAACAAGAAAGACAAATAGCTCACAGAATAGCTATGCAGACTCACACCTCTCAAAATTAGTCAGAGAGAGTTAGGACCTAACTATGGGCAGAAAAGCACTACTAGTACCTGGATCTGAGAAGCATGTAGGTCCATGGTGATGATGTGATCGGCCCCAGCAACTGACAGCATGTTGGCCACAAGTTTAGCAGAGATTGGAGCACGACTCTAAAAAATAGAAACAAGGATTTAATATCAGAAAAAAATGGAAACTGTTAGATACTTCTCACAAACATATACATGGGGAAACCAAATCATGAATGGAATCAATAAGGAAAGTGACAAGTTATGACAACAAAAGATATATCCAACACATTGCATTTTGTTACTAAATATACACTTTTGTTTGTTTCTGAGTCTGGATCTCATATAGCCTAGGTTGGTTTCAAGCTCACTTATGTAGCCAAGGATGACCTTGAACTCCTGATCCTCTTGCTTTCACTTCCTGAATGTTAAGATGATAGGCATGTGCCGCCATGCTCAATATCTGTGATAGTGGGGCTGGAATTCAGAGCTTCCTGTATGTCAGACAGGCACTCTTATCAACTAAACTATATCTCCAGCCTATTGTGAATCCATGCTACCTAACACTATAGTAGAATACAAATATCAAAGGAATAAAGTCAAACTGTGTACACATGATACCACAATTTCTATAATTCAAATAGCAAGAAAGCATGAAGAGGTTCAACAAGTTGATTTAAGAGATCACTTTTAAGGTAAGGCCAGCTAATGCTAGGAGAAGAGTGTTGTAGAAGGAAACAATTAAGTATAAACGCCATCAAATAGCTCATCCAGGCACCAAAAATGAAAGCTAACACTACTATAAATTCAACAACAACTGTAACAAACAAAAACCAAATAAAGAATGAACTGAGAATTGAACATTTAGAGAAACATGTTCATTGTCATTATGCCTTTTCTAAAGTTACCTAACTTCTTTATAGCTTTAATTTCCACACCATAAATCAAAGGCAATGAAAAAGTCCACATCAAAGCAATCAAAGAGAGTACACAGATATCATTAGACATACTCCAGACATAATGTAGGTGGAGATCAGTTACTAACAGAATTGGATGCTTATATACAAGCCACAAAAAATAATCTTAAAATTGTATGAACCTGGAGAATTGGCTCAGTGGTTAAGAGCACTGACTATTCTTTCAGAGGACCTGGGTTCAGTTCTCAGCACCCACATGACAGCTAACTCCAAGACCTGACACCCCCCACACAGACATATATGCAAATAAAATAAAAATAATTTATTTGAAGTTATATGAAAATGTTAATGTTATGCACATTTCCTTTCAAATACCACCCTATTGTTTAAAAAGAAACATATATCACCTTAATATATATGTATATATAAATTGTATACATTTATAAATATAACAAATAAATATTAATATATAGTCAATGTTATTAATATGTAAACATTACTTTATATGTGAATTTTACATTAATTACACACACACACATAAACAATCAGAGAAAACACCCCTAACATCATCAGCAGAATTTTGAGAAAGTGAAACTATGGGGAAGTATTTCTTGCTTTTTGTTTTCTGAGCTAGTCTCTCCATGGAGCCCTAGCTGTTCTGCTGGAAATCTCTGTGTAGAACAGCTGGCCTTGAACTAACAAAGATTCACCTGGTGCTGCTTCTACTGTGCTGAGGTTAAAGGGGAAGTGCTTTTCTTTAAGGCTTATTTATTTTTTTTTTTAATTTTAGGTGTGTCAGTTTTTTTTTCCTGTATGTATGTCTGCACACCATAGGCATGCAGTGCAATCAGAAGCCAGAAGAGGGTGTTAGACCCCCTGCAACAATCGTTTCAGATGACTGTGAACCACCTTGTGTGCTAGGAACTGAACCCAGGTCCTTGGCAATAGCAATCTGTGCTCTTTATCATTGAGCCATTGAGGTGGGTTTTGTTTTGATTTGGTTTTCTCTGTACCAACTATACATCATAACTTACATTTCCAGGGTTTTTTTTTTAAATCTCTCTTGTATGGTATTCCATGTTGCCTTTGGGAGAGAATAAAATTTTCTATCTTTAATACCAAAAGGACTCTGGTCTATCTGGCTATAGCCAGTTAAAACTGTTCTCCCTTGCTCTGCTCATGTCCTTCCCTGCCGAGTAGCTGGGTCTGTTCTCTCGCTGGAGAATTCCCTGGCCTTGTCTCACATACTCAACTGCCTCTATCTTACCCCATTTCTATACCTGCATGATTGATCCTTCAAGGTCTGGCTCAAACAATGCATGTTTTAGTGTCTGCAAGAATTCTAGAAGTAATCCCTCTCTCCTTAGGTGACACTTGGTTGCCTAAGAACCTGTGACTATTTAGCTCAGGACCAAATAACAGTGGCCTAGAAAAGAAAAATGTGTAGTGACAAAATGACTTGTAATGTTATTCTGCTATACTCCTGTAATGGTGCCTTGTTCATCAGTGTCATCATCACAGAAGCTTCCTCCTGCAGCAGATGGGAACAAACACAGAGACCCACAGCCAGACATCAGGCAGAGAGAGAGAAACCTTGCAACACTCAGCCTTAATGGGATGTCTACATCAAATTTCCCCCTCATGCTCAGGGAACCCTGTGGAAGAGGAGGCAGAAAGAGTATAAATGGCAGAGAGGACACCAAGAGAACAAGGCTTCTAAATCAACATGAGCAAAGCTCATATGAACTCACAGAAATGCAGAAAGCATAGGGCCAACACAGGTCTGCACCAGGTCCTCAGTGTATATATTATGGCTTTCAAAGGAAGCTCTAAAAGAAAGCATTTAATTGGCAGGCTATTAACACTTGCAGAGGTACAGTGGCCATCATGGTAAGGAGCACAGTAGCAGGTGGGAGTAATGCTGAGAGATTCCCTCACTCACAACCACGAGGTAGAGAGATTGGGCCTGGCTTGCCCTTGGCTCTTAAAACCTCAAAGTCTATGCCCAGTGACACACCTCCTCTAACAAGGCCACATTTTCTAGTCCTTCCCAAACAGTTCCACCAACTGCAGAACAAGCATTCAAACATAAGAACCTACAGGGGTCATTCTCATTTAAACCATCACAAGTCCATAAAGAGAAAATTCAGGGTGATATTTAAAGAGCAGGCAAAGTGCTTACCTTGGAAGCATGAGGACATGAGTTCAAGCCCAGGGTCTACATCAAAACGCTGTGGTGTGTCAACAAGTGCTTGTAATCCCTGTGCTAGGTAGGTAGGGACTGAAATACCCTGGGGATCACTGGCCATCCTTGTCTATCTGACAAATTTCAAGCCAGTGAGAAACCTTAGCAAAACCAAAACAAACAGAAACAAAACAAAACCCCAAAAGATAGACAGGACTGAAAACCAGAAAAATGACATCTGAGCTCAAGCTCTTGCTCATGTACACAGAAGTGTATAGGACTTGCACATATACACATTCCCCCAAACACACACACACACACACACACACACACACACACACACACACACACACACACACACTACATGATTACAGGGACTTGTGTCTATTACCTTATCATTGAAATAAGAACAGGACCTTAGAAATGATTCTAAAATATCCAAGTTGACAACCCTTCACTCTCTCAGAAGTAATTATCCCCTGCCTGGCTCACAAGCCACTGTTCTCTCCAGGGAAGAGAACCAGCAATTATAGGAGCCAGCAAACGTCAGCGCATGGGCTAGACTTGCCTGATGCCTGGTTTGGGCCTGGGGTTTTCTCTACACTTAGGAAACAGACAAAAATAAGATTTTGTAGCATTTGAGGGTGACATAAAATCCACACTTCAGTACGCAAAAATAAAGTACCCGTAGAACATAGTCACACACTTTTATTTGAATATTGGCTATAGCAGTTTCTACACAAAAATGGTAGAATTTGAGCTGTCACAATAACCATCCAATGGGCTAGCTACAAAGTCCCATATATTAACACTAGTTCTTTTCGGAGAGCTTGTCCAGTTGTGTATAATAGGTCAAAAACTTCATCCAAAGAAGCTCAGATGGCCCTTAGTGTACAGGCAAAGACACTTAAGATGCAGAGTTTAAGTAACATTTACAAAGGACAGACGGGTGAATCATGGTATTGGAATTCAAAGCTGAGCCTGCTTCATTGCAAAGCTGCAACTCCAGGGTTTACATCACGCCTTTGACAATTACTGTGACATCATCATCACTTTCCTGTGTGAATATTCCATTGTGTTAGTGGTCATTTATGAAACAGTTTCTTTCCTGTCAGAAGCTTCCCTTGGGTTCTGGTTCTTACAAATCAAAGCTAAATAAACCATTCCACATACAGAGGTCAAAGGGTAAAAACACACGAAACAAGTTTTGAAGATAGTTTAAAGCCCCAAGATTTTTCTGGGCTTTTTCAGTAGGTACTTCTTGGTAGAGGCAATTACACAGAATTTCTCTGTGCCATTAAAGGTTATGGGCGATATAGTCCCAAAGGAAGAGAAAAGAACAATAGGCAGCCTGGGAGGGCTGCCCAGAGCTCCTTCCATAGCCAACAAGAACATTCTGTCTAGGTCCAGAGATTAAGTGTGGCACATGGCTTTCTATGCCATTCAGACACCACCTGGCTTTCTATCTCTGTAAGTGAAGAAAAAAAAAAAAAAAAAAAAACAAGGAAGTACCTTCCTCCATCCCAAATCATGTTTGGTGCCCTTAAGGTCTCCAGACACTGGGAAACAGTAACACTTGGCTAAGAAATGAAGTACACTACCGGACTCTGGTCATTTCTTATTTCTCTTACAAAGTCCTCATTGCCCTCACCCAGAAGTTTCCCAGCACCAAGCTAAGCTGCATGGCCTGAGGGAAGAAGTGAATTGTTAGAAGTTTACAGAATGCAAATGGGACATCTTGAATGACAGGTTAACAGACTAAACTGCATGAGAGAATGAAATTGTTTCCTCACTATAGTTGGAGTCACACTGACTACACAGATCCATCAGAAGTCATGGTTGTAGGGTACCACCAGGTAGCTCAGCAAGTGAAGGTGCTTGCTAGGCAAGCCTGAGCTAGATCCACATAAAGGTGGAAGGAGATACAATGTAATATTATCTCCAGAGCCAAACACAAAAAAATTAATAATACCGATTAGCACTTTCGCAGTTACTTTCATTTCTGTTGCTGTGGCAAAACATGTTGACAAAGACAACATAAAGGAGGAAGGGTTTAATTGCCTCCTAATTCTAAGGATGCTGTCCACCATCCTGGGAAACTCAAGGGGGAACTGACTTCAAGCAACTACTCACATTCACAGACAAGAACAGAGAGAAGGAATATATGAATTATTATATTAAGCTTACCCTTCTTTTATTCAACCCAGAACCCAAACCAAAGGCATGGTGCTGCCCCCTTCCACATTGGGTCTTCTGACATGAATTAATGTAACTAAGGTAATTCCCAAAGACATGCCCACAGTGGAACCTGACCTGGAGAATCCCTCGTCAAGATTTTCTTCTCAGGTGATTCTAGGTTGTGTTAAGTGGACAAATAAAATTAACCATCTCAGTGATTAACTTCCTAAGAGAGTGGGTTCTTATACAAAGAATGAAGCTGCTTCATTCCCATTCTTTTGTTCCTTGCTCACACATATCCCTTCTCCATATGCCTAGTTCCTTTTGCTGCCATATTTTGAACACCTGCTGGGATGCCAGAGTTGAGTTGTTTGGATTTTCCAGCCTCACTAAATAAGCCCTTTAGTTTATAACTCACCCATCACAGATCCTTTAGTTACACTAACATAAAGCTGACTATAAAACTAAGCAGTACTCTAATGCAAAGTATGGCTTGTAGACCAAACCTAACCTGTTACATGATTGAGTCCTGTTTATAAGCTATTAAGTTTCAGGGAGAAATGAAAATAATATTTCATGTCATATAAAATAGAAAGTCACCTGTGTCTATAAACAAACTTGAATTCTAATTTGTTTTACAGTTTCATACATGCATGCTTTACATACTGACCACTCTCCCTTAGAACCTACCCCACCATCTCTGTCTACTCTCATCCTCCCTATATCTGTCACTTATACATTGTTCTCTATCTCTGCTATTGAAGTACACAGTTGAGTAGCTGTAATAAAAACCAGTCATTTATTAAAAAAAAAACTTAGCTGACTCTATCGTCTATCTATCTGTAAATGGTAAACTATGTCTTAAGTGCTGAATGGAATTCTTCCTATCACATTTTACTGAAACACTGAGTGACTAGCTGTGTTCAGCACAAACTCTGGAAACCATTCCTGAAGATGTTGGGATTAAAATTCAAGGAGGACATGTATTAATCTTTATACAGGTTATTATTTTTTTTTTACATCCATGGAAATCTTGAGTACTTTTTTGAAACAACAGCTTCAAGTCATCACTGCCATTAAGTGAATGATATTGCCTCCCCAAATTCATACCGGCCTATAAGTCTGGAATGGGTCCTCACTGTAGAAGGGTCTTTGCAGATGCTATTAATGTAAAGATATGGAGATGGGTTCATTTTGGAGAAGAGTGGTGTCCTTGTAAAGGAGAGAAGTGGAAACACAGAGAAGCCATGGCATAGAAGACAAGAGGCAGAAACTATGTAGCCAGAATGAAGGAATGCCTGAAGCCCCCAGGAGCTGGGCAAGGTGGGGAAGGTTCTACCCTAGGGTCTTAGAGGAAGCTGGATGAAATTGTGGTGGATTGAAGACCTCCAAAAAGATATGTCCATGTCCCAACCTGCAGAACTTATTAATGCCACTTGGACATAGCATTCTTGTAGGTGCAATTAGAGAAGGATTATAGGATGAAATCATCCTAGATAACAGTATCACATATAAGAGAAGTGTCTTGAAGACAAAGATAGAGACTGAAACAATGGGGGCCACCAGCCAAGAGACGCCTAGGAGCTGGAAGAGGCAGGAGGGATTCTCCGCTAGAACAAGCATGGCACTGACACACCTTGTCCTCAGACATCTGGTCTGTGAACTTCTAAAGAAGAATTTCCTGCTCTGCAAATCTGCCCAACTCATGGTAATTTGTGATAGTACCCTTAACCAACCAAGATAAGCTCCTTCAATGTTTGTTTCAACTCCAACTTTTCTGATGTGTCATAATGGCTAAGAACCACTGTATTTTCAACTTCTCCTGGAAACTTAACGGTGCCTCCACTAATGGGAATTTTGCTAAAATAATAAGCAATGCTGGTCTCCTTAGTAGGCTAAAAGGAGATAGAAGATTGATTTTAATTAATTGGGGGGGGGGGCACTGTGGATTCATATGCAGTTGGAAACAACAACACAGATGGCCTATGGCCCTTTGTCTTACAATACAAACCACTTGTAAGAACAGAATATTGAAACTGGAGTTCTCACCTTGATGCAAAGCTGGGAGATAATTTGGATGGTCTTCAGTTTTCCTGTATTCACTGAGGGATGTGTGTGTGTGTGTGTGTGTGTGTGTGTGTGTGTGTGTGTGTGTCTGCACGCGTGTGCATGTGTATAATTAGCTCTATCCACCACCTTACAAAACCCCATAATGACAAGGATAATGGTATTTGAATGTCTTTGACTACATATATTGCCTGTGTTGATACATATGGTGAGTTCAATGACAGATCTGAAATAGACAAGGTGAGGGCACATATTTACATGATGATTGAAGAGGAAAGCCAGTAATTCTGGGTAGTTTAATGAAGACAGTAGGTAAGGAAACTGTGGTGAGCACAGGTTTCTAGGGCAAGACACACCTCGCCTACCTTGTCCTTTTTATCTTGCCGGGCATACGGGAAACAGGGTATCACAGCAGTTACCCTGGATGAGGATGCAATCTTGCATGCGTTGATCATAATGAGTAGCTCCATCAGGTTGTCATTAATTTCACCGCAGCCACTCTGGATGATATAGACATCTTCCCCTCTCACACTTTCACCAATCTCAACACTACAAAAGAACAATGCCATATTAGTTTTCTTTGCCTGCTGTTGTTTAAAAACACCCTAGAAAAATGATTTAAGGAGGGAGGCTTATTTTGGCTCACAGTTCAAGGTATATTCCATTATGGCTGGGAAGTTAAAATGGAGGCACCTCTAAGCAGCTGTGCACACTCTACTCCCAATCAGAAAGCAGAGATTATAAACTTATGCTGCTTTTCAGCTCCCTTCCCACTTACAGAGTCCAGGGCCCAGTCTGGAGAATGGTGCTATGCATAGTGGGTGGGCATTTCTGTCTCAGTTAACACAATTAAAACAATTTCCCACAAGCTGGCTCACAGGCCCATCTCTCAGGTGGTCCTAGATTCTGTCAAGTTCATAATTAAACAATCAGCCATCATAACACTAGTTAATATCAAGGTCTCTAAGATTCTCTGAGACCACCTCCAACTTCAGCAATCCAGCAGGTCCACTCCTGGGACTCAGTAGAGTCACAATACTAACTGTGACATATGAGATGGCATGAACACAGGAAAAATTCAGCAAAGTACACAAGGGAATCCAGATATGAACTTCCAGGCATTCTCCCCCAAGGAAGTCACAGAAGTCCAGTTCAAAGCGTCTAGTGGGAACTGTTACCTACTACAGTAGATGAAGAAACTTAGGGCCCAGGCTTTTTACTGGAAGCTAATCAATGTAGTCACTCTCTGCCTAGTGCATACCAAAATGCTAGCTTTGTAGCAGGCAGGCGGGAGCTCAGTGTAAGCCACATTGTTTCCTGGCTGTTAATAGTTCACACACAACAAGCCAATTCTTACCAAAGAATGGTGTGGGAATCCCTGTGAGAGCTAAGTTCCCATAGGTCAGCCAAGAGCTGACCTTGCAAGGAACCTTTCTAAGTCCCAGGCCTTTCTAATTCCATGTGGTGATTTTTCTATTATTATTAAGCATGGATGTTGTCTTAAAAATTCAAATCACAGGATCTAGGGAGATGGCTCAGTTGGTAGTGTTCACAAGCATTAAAAAAGCCAGGTACAATGGCACACATGTCTATAACCCCAGCTCTGGGAGAGCAGAGACATTAGATTCTTGGATTTATTGGCTGGCCAGCCAGCCGAATAAATGTGTTCAGGTTTAGTGAGAGTCCTGTCTCACAAAGCAAAGCAGAGAGAGATGGAGAAAGACATCTGATACTGACCTCTGATCTCTGGCCTTTACATATACATGGTGATGGAAGCAAGTATACATAACACACACACACACACACACACACACACACACACACACACACACACACTCAAATCATGATCAAAATATGGTAGTTCCGCCTATAATCCCAGTATTTGGGATGCTGAGAGAAGGATTCCCAAGTTCCAGACCAGCCTGGACTACAGAAGAATAACTAGTGTCCCAATACCCCCCTCCCACACACACACCTTTAAGGCTTATGACAGTTAAACAGCCAGGAGACAACCAGTTTCAATCTTAGATGACTTTTTAGAGAGAGATTTATTTTCAAGTCACCAGCTACCATTTGAGATTTGAGTCTTGATTTTTCATTAGGCATCAGGTATTGACTTCTCACTATAGAAGATGAGGATTTACCATCTCTTCCTCTCTGCTCCATCACACAAATGAATACTTCCTACATCACCATCTTGTCAATATAGATCAGTATTCAAGCTGAAGACTTACTGCTTCATTTGAACCCTGTTTATGATGATCAGAGCTGAGCTGTGAAGTAAACCAAAACCAATGTTCAAGTTTCAAGTTTCAGTGTGTGTGTGTGTGTGTGTGTGTGTGTGTGTGTGTGTGTGTTTCCTTTACCTTAGGCTTTCTCTGGTGAATTTTCTATTTACTACACATTTGTATTCCTCCCCCAACCCCATTAACAATTTCTGTCTCCCAGTGTCAGTTGTCAAGTCCGTCTCCACTTTCCCATTCTGCCAATACCCTACTCACAGCTGGATGACATGAATGGCCCAGCTGCCATAGGGATTCTTGATAGCTCTTTGCAGCACTCCTTTGGTCATTTTCTGTATGTGCTTATGGTATACTTCCTTATTTTGCTAGTTGTCAACCTGTAGCTCCTGGAGAGTTAGTAGTCATCAACTTTTTGAAAACCAATTGTCTAAAGATGTCTGGACTTAAAGTTATAGAATGTGGGGTATTTAGCATTAGAAATTCAACCCATCCAATGTTATATGGCTGCCACATAGAGAAGGAAAACATCACATCATATGTTCTGGCAAATCCTTCACAGAGTATTAGAGAACAAAGAATCAGATCAGCTCTGATAGAACTCTTGTTTTCAAATGCCAATCCTGTTCCAATGGTTAGAACAAGTTGATATATTTGGGACATTATGGATACCATGTGAATTTTGCTTCTGTGTAATTTCTTATCTTGAGATGGGAAACAGAAAACTGGGGCTATGAATGGAGTTCAATTGTAGAGCATTTGCATAAATGAACATGAAACCCTGGGTTCCATCCCCTATACTGTAAAAATGAATATGGAAAACTTCACTGTGTGCATCTGAATACAGCTACTTAAAAATACATCATCAGAATCTAATATGGCAGCACACACTTGAAGTCCAAGCCAAGATGACTTTGAACTCCTCTTCCTCTTTCCTCCATCTTCTAAGTGCTAGAATTTAGGCATGTTCCACCATGTTGGGCTCTGAAAATGAGTTTTGATATTTGATCACACTCCTGCATGCAGCTCTCTGTTATGGACATTAAGAGTACATCAAACACGAGATGAAAGGAATAGAAAGAAAATGAAATCTATCTCCTTATTTTGAGTGTTAAAGAATGAACACAATTCTTTAGCCAATAAGGTGGCTTAGTAGATAAAAGCAGATACTGCACAAGTCTGACAACCTGTGTTCAGTTCCTGGAATCCAGTATAAGAAGCTGGATGTTCCACTACTGAATTAACACAAGTACATAAAGTATAGGGGTGATTTAATTTGGTATGTATCTGCAACTAAAGAACTCCTACATAGAGGTATGAGGCTTGGACTGATAGACACCACAAGCTTGGGTGCCAGCATGTCTGGAGCATGCAAAAAGGCAGAAACACCCAAAAGCTTGTGGGCTAGCCTGGGATACAAAGCATGGCAGAAAGAAGAAAAATCCTACTTCTATAGGTACAAGGAGAGAAATGATTCTTCAGAGTTGTTCTCTGCCATCCACACATGTGTCATGGCATTCATGTGCACATACAAATACACAAATAACTTAAAATGTAGCAAAATTCCATCAAGTATAGGGTTAACTTAATTTGAAAGGCAAGTATTACATCGCTCAGGGACTGACAAAATGCAGCCCCCACATACAATAAGAATGGTTTGGTAGTCCCAGTAATAAATAACCCCCCAAAGACATCTATACCCAATCCTTAGCATATGTTAAATTATATGGCAAGTGGGATATATATATATATATATATATGCACATGGAATCAAGCATGATAATCAGCTGATCTTCAAACAAAAAGGTCAGCCATGTGGTGGTGGTGGTGGTGCACGCCTTTAATCCCAACATTTGGAAGGCAGAGACAAAAGGATCTCTGGGATTTCAAGGCCAGCCTGGTCTACAGAGAAAAATCTAGGACAGGCTCCAAAGCCACACAAAGAAGCCCTGTCTCCAACATGACCCCCCCCAAAAAAACCCCAGAAAGATTGTGCTTGACTATTTAAATTTGTCCCATGTGATCATAGCTGACCTGCAAATTGGAAGAGGAAGACTATAAGAGTATAAGAGTAGAAAGGGACTGATGATGAAAGCAAATCAGAGAGAGCTTCTATTTCAGAAGGTCTCAATATCCCAGGGCTGTAGGGTAGGTTTCTACAAAACTGAAAGATGACTGGGACTCTGCTTGATCAAGTGTTTGTCCAATATGCATGAAGCCATGAGTTTGGTCCCCATCAGTAGGTAAAACCTGATATGGTGACACATACCTGTCTGTTATCCTGGTACTTGGGATGTGGAGACAGGAGGATCAGAAGCCCAAAGATATCATCAGTTATATTGAGAGTTCAGGGCTAACCTGGGCTACATGAGACTGTCTGCAAGCAAAAGAAAAGAAAGCTGGAAAAAGGCAAGGGAATAGTTTCCCATGAAGTTTCAGGAGGGAAGGCAGCCCTGTTGACCTGTTCAGGGTTTGTAGTGTATAGACATGTAAGACACAGACAGCAGTAACAGGGATGATATGGGGTTGGCAATGCCTAAAACATTTATGATCTGGCTCTTTACAGAAAGCTTCCCAACTCCTGGTCTTGTGACTGTTTATCCCCACAACATCACATTCTTTGGCCTGCCTTTCCTCACCAAGGAACTGCAATCCTCCTGTGATTAGCAGTCCTGGGGAGCACAGAAAACACCATGGCAACATTTCTTTCAAAACCAGTTCTGCTTCTACTTACAAAGAAGATATCTACACCCAATCTGTAGTATAGATTTCTAATGGATCAGCTTGAGGACAAGAGACCCACCAACAAGAAAACTGTAGCAATGCTGAATGGCTGGGTAATTTAAAATATGGGCTGCCCAGTGCTTAGACTTCTTTATACTGCGGCACAGGATCTAAGTCTCTTTCCTAGACTTTCTCTAGACCTAACAGGGCTTTGACCAATACAATGTTATAGAAGTGATGACATGTCATCTTCTAAGGTCAGGCTTGTACATACTGGCACTTAACTACTTCCTGTGTTTTGAAACTCTCCCTCTTGGAACATAGCTTCTGAGCTAGAGTGGTTCTTATCCAAGCATCCAGGCAACAGTTAGCCAAACACACCAGCTGCATGAGTGAGCTATCTTCAAAAATGGCTCCCAAGGTCTCAGTACCCACGCTACGTGCCATCACTGGAGAAAGGAACAAACCTACCTTGCTCTGACAAATTTCACATCTGGGGACCAAATAAACAGATTGCTTTAAGCCACTAAGTTCTGGGTGATCTGTTCAATGGCAGAAACAAGAGTACTGGGTCCCATGGTTCAGGTAAGGCCGCTATAGCAGTAAATTAAACCAGGGTAAAATCCAACAAGAGACCTGGAATACCATTATGAACACTGTCCTCCAAGTCACAGAGGGTTCTCTAGGGTAAAAAGAGAAGATGGAATATACTTCTCCCTGCAAAATGGAAACAATTTGGAGATGAGAAGGTGAAAGTAGAAGTGTGCCTGTCCATTATGTAGCATTTAAGAAAACTAGGAACTGAGGCACTGAGGGTCAGGGCATAGCATCCGGATTCCTGCTCCTCACTCAGCAAGAGGCACTGAGCAAACAGTACCTTATATACATTGAATCCATTTTCTCTTGCATTTGCCCTTTGTTTTTTCATCTCTACAGCCAAACAGGAACACTCATTTTTGAGGAGTGTGTGTAAATATCAACCTCTGTCTCTGTGTAGTCCATGAGAGAGGTTAGCACATTAACCTTCTACATTCTTATAGATGACAGAAACATAAAATGTAGCTAGGTATTGTGTGTGCATGTCTGCAATCCCAGCACTTGGGAGGTGAAGGCAGGAGGATTATGAATTCAAAGCTGGACTTAGCAACACACTGAGTTCTGGAGCAGGCTATAATACTTGAGACCTTGACAAAAAGAAAGCAAAAAGCAAACAAAATAACCACAACAAACAAAAGAAAAACCCAGCCCAACCAACAAAACATAAGAAACATAACACGGAGCTGAGAAATCTTGGACACCATAGGATTTCTAATGGTCAAACCTGGTTAAAAGAGAACCCAAACTGAGTAAAAACAAGTCTGCTTTCTATTTCAAATAAATGTATGAACAATTACACTTGAACATCCATCCCAGTGAGTTTCACCCTACAGCCCATATAGGACTTGCAGCAGAAATCCAATACTAACCCAGCAAGGAATTCATCTAGAGTAGCTGTGCTCAGCAGCAAATAATTGTGCTGCATTGAGATCAACAAGGAAGAGTAGCTTTACTTGCTTTCAAAACCTACTCCAACCAGAAATGTCTCCTTTATTTACATGACAACACCTTCTGGACAAAGACTCTTATTCTACTAGTGTTCTCAGAGCTGCTGAAACTTGGCCAGGACTGACAAAATCCTGCAGTATTCAAATCCAACTCCATTCTTCTCCAAAGTCCTAGAACCCTCCATATATTAAACTCTACAAAGGGAGCTGCGGATGTAGCTCAGTAGTTGAGTCTTTCTGCCCAGCATATACAAGGACCTGGGATCCATCCTCAATACTGAAAACAAACAAACAAAGGCAAAGTAACCTTTAAAAAACTTTTTTTTTAATGTTTAACTAAGCTGGTCTCAATCCCCCTATGCAGCCAAGGATGCTCTTGAATTCTTGCTTCTCTTGCTTCTTCCACCCAAGTGCTGGGATTGTAGTACTGCTATCACATCCTGTTTTCATGTGGTACAGGGGACCAAATTCAGGGCTTCAGGCATGTTTGGCAAGCAATTCCACCAACTGAGCCCAAAGGAGCATTCTTAGCCTGAGCTGTCTATACAGTAATAACATCTGCCATCTGTTCCTATTCTCATACAAGATGTTTAACTCGAGTTTACCACCTAGAAAAGGTCACATGGGATGCACACAGCCTTTAGAAAAAGGTCATCTTTGCCATCTATATTAGCCTGACTCTTAGCTGGGTCTGGTCACACAGATAATTGTAATTCTATTACTTAGGCGTCTGAGGCCTGCTGGGACTACACATGATTTCACTATGCTCCTAGATACCATAGACAAACCCAGTCTCAGAAAACTGAAATAAAACAACAAAAAGAAAAAAATGCCCCTAACTTCACACAATCTCCATTGACTCATAGTCAAGATTTTCTGCTTTCTTCTGGAAATTTCATAGTTTTAGATTTGACATTTCTGTCTACGATCCAATATATATGTTTTTCAGTAGAATTGCAACCTTGCCAAATGGTTATCTTTCACTGTGCACTGTATAGTTGGTTAACTTGGCTAAACAAAATGAGAAAAAGAAATTGTTCTCGGGTGGGACAAGATGCCCCCCAGTCCACTTTTGAACTGCCTGGCTGGCTGCACTGAATCTTGGTGATCACCTCTTGCTCATGCGAGAAATGAGTGGAATTTTTTCCAAACTAGGATCTTGCAGCTGGCTGTGCGCAGCTGAGTTCCATAAAAACAAAGAAACTACTAGCGATATTCGATGCAGCAAAGTTAAAGGAAGCCCAGGGGCGCCCAACACGTGCGTCCTGCGTTCGGCTCTTTCCAACCCTCACACCAACCCACTTCTGGATAAGGCAATCCTCAACACTCAGGCTGCTCGGGAAGAGTCACCTGAGCAGCTGGCAACACTTTGATCGCCGGCGGCTGGAAGTTTGGAAGTTTCCCAGGTAAACCCAGTGCCCCGGACCTGTGCAGATGCTTTTCGACCACGCTCAAGTCTGGGGTTCCGCCTGACAGAGTCGGAAACTGGGGCGGGCGGATCCACAGATGTCTCCCTGCCCCCACCATTCTCGGCACCGATGTGATGCCCACAGGCTGCGCCCACTCTCTCAGACGTGCTGTGACTGCACTGATGTCGCCCTTCCGGACTGAGGACACCAGGCGCAAAAAAGGGACTTGGGGTGCCTAGGGGTCGACAGGTCGCCCAAGTCCGGGTGCTGGAGGCCAGGTCACCAGAGGGACAACTGAGACTCTGAGACTCCAGGGTGACTGGGGGAGGGGGGGTTCCCTTGCTGGACTTCTTTCTCCCCGGGCGCAGCCGCGGTGGCTCTGAAGCCGCGTTGCTGCCGTCCCGCCCCGGAAGGGAGAGCGCAGCGCCCTCGGAGGTGGCCCGGGCATGCGTTGGCCCCTGCCTCAACCCTAGTGTAACTCTCACCTGGTCTCCTGGTTGCTGAACTTCTTGGTGACCACTTTGCCCAATTCCAGGCCCAGGCGATCGGCCACGCGCTGAGACAGGTCCTGGTGAGAGCTGCCGCTGAAGAGCACGATGTTGGGCATGGTGAGGCGCGGGGATTGAGGGGCGCGCTGGAAAGGAGAAAGCGACAACGACGCAGACTGCTGCTACTGCTGCTACTGGCGCTGGCGTTGGCGCTGGCGTTGGCGCTGGCGCTGGTGCTGCTTTAGCTGCTGCGTTGCCCGCGGTTGCTGGTGGAGCGGGAAAACGAGGCGGCGGGACCTAGGGGAGGGGAGGGGAGGAGTTGGGGGAGGAGCCAGAGAGAGAGGAGGAGCAACGGACTAGTCGCTGGAGGGTGTTGGGAAGCGGCTTCTGCCCACGCAGGCTGGGCAGCAGGTTGTGAAGTTCTGGGTGGCCCAGTAGCGCCCAGGTGCGGTTGTTCGGTAGGGGAGCTCGATGTCCCACACTTGACCGCTCTGACTTGCCTTCAAGTGGGGAGGTTAACGAGTCAGATGGACTAGGCACAGAGAGAGCGCGCGATTGCAGGAAGGGGCCATAGAGGTGTCTTGAAGCCAAGTAGGGCCTTTCAACCCGGAAGCTCAGAACCCAGAGGTGATACTTAGGGTTCAAGTGCACCCAGCGTCCATGTAGGAGAGACCTACACAGCGGCCGGAATTTACACCTGAGAGTGGAGCATGTTTCTCTTTATGTGATGGAATACACTACCTTTGAAGCTGGACTAGACAAAAGGTTTTTCCCATCAACGGGAATTCCCTTTCTCATTAATTTAGATGTTTATTTTGAAAAATTAGCTCAAATATTATTTTGTTTTTCGATTTTCAGTAATAGCTGAAAATTCGTTTCCTTCCTTATTATATGAATGCCTATGTAACATCTTATGTTTTGCCTCTTGGTCCATTAAGCCTGAAGAAATTTAAGGTCTGGTTCCTAATAGTTAAATGTGCTATTCCTTGAAGGAATCATTGATATGAGCCACCATTTGAGCCCTAAGCTCAAGTGCAAGGAGGACAACCTGTTTTCAGGTGGCCCATTGATTCTATCCAATGGGCTTGGAGTCTTCATTTTTATGTAGATAGGCTGGCACTCTGACTCCTGTCATAACGCTCTGTCTCCTGCACTCTACTTATGTCCACTGAGAATTTGCCATCCACAGCCAAGGCCACTTGGAGCTGAATTGTAGCCCACTCTAAAGGTACTTCCTGTGTTCCTGGGATTAGGGAAATTGTTCATATCATTTCATTTTAAAAATCTGGATCCGTTCTTGTACTTTGCAAATTGGATGTCAGCCATAGTGATACAAACCTTTAATCTCATCACTCTGGAGGCAGTAGATAGATACAGGTGGATCTCTATGAGTTCAAGGCCAGTTTGATCGGTTTGTCAAATCCCCTACCCCCACCCCTACACCCTACCCCAGCCCCCTACCCCCTCCAAACCCAAGCAAACTGTATTTACAAAAGAGTTTCTTTAGAAACTCCAATGACCTGCTTACCAAAAAGTTCTCCCAAATACCATTGCAGTTGTATTTCTGCCACTTTTCATTCTGTTTGCAAAGGTGTATATCTCCTATTATATTTTTTAAAGTTAGTTAAAGTTATATTGTTTAAGATGGGGATCAGGAATCCCAGGCCATACTGTGCTACATAGGGAGACATTGTCTCAAAAACAACTGCAGCAGCAACAATCTTATCTACAGTGGGTTTTAAGCTACACCCAGTCACATGCTGCATAAAGATTCAGATGACAGACCACACCATTAAGGTTATATTGTTTAATGATGTTACAGCTGTCTTGGTTCATTTATGTACACTATACAATGCTTACAGGAGCATGAATTCACCTCATTATGTATTTCTCAAAACATTCTACATGGTATGTGGCATGTGACTTTATTCCATAATTAAATTTGCATATTTGCATAATAAATTACCATAGAGATGAAATTTATACTCATACTCAACTATTTGTCTAAAATTTTATTGAATGAATCAGTTAATATAATTATACTTAAGCTCACCTAATGACATTTACTACTAGCAATGCTACTGTAATTTTTCTGTCCTTAAATATTTGTCTCATAGATAAAATTTATTAATCATGACATTCCTCTAAATATATACATGCTCTTATGGGGGGGGGAAGTAGTTTCTGATCAGTGTGGGATTCTTTGATAACAAAACTGATGGACAATAAAATAAAATGTTGAAGTTCTTAATCTCTAGGATCATTCATAGATGAGATTCTAGAAGCTAAGATTAAATGGTGACTTTGATAGTAGCATGAGATAAAACATCTGTGATGGCATGATAAGGAAAGTGCTTGCTGAGGGACTATGCTTGAGGTTCAGAGTACAAGGGCAAACTGCTTCCAGTTGATGAGGATACTAATGGGAGTCAACAAAAACCATCCAAGAAGCAGGCTGTGCACAGAGTTATCACTGAGAAATGTACAGGCTTAGAAGAGCACTTAGAAATTTTGTGTGAACATTTTCTCTCCCAAGCACCTTTATCTTTGATCCACAGAAGGCAGGTTGTCAAAAAACCTTGATCTACAACTATTTCTCAGCTTCAGCACAACTGACAGACTGGCTGATTCCTTGTTGTGGGGCTCTCCTGTATGTATAGGATACTCAGAAGCATTCCCCACACCCAGTTTCAACCCATGAGAAACCAGTAGTCCCTCTTCACCTGTTGTGACAACCAAAGTGTCTCCAGGCACAATTAAATATCTCCTGTCAGGGCAAAATGACCCCAGGTTAAGAAAAAATCACCTCAGTCAGCCCCTGGCCCATTCCTCCTCTATGTGGCCTTTTCCTCGTGGCCATTCAGACCTCACGATATAGCTTCAGAGGTGCAAGAAGGAGTCTTCCAAAAAGACAAATATCAACTACAAATGAATACATGAATAGAAATGTAATGAGATTCATCTTGTACTCTACAGGAAAATTAATTAAAAATAAGATAAGCCTTGTGAGCAAACATTAACACTCTGCTTGTATCTTGTTTGATAATATCCTATTGCCCAAAGCAAGTTACGTGGTCAAGATCAGAGTCAGTGTGGCATGAATGAATGAATGAAAGAGTTGCACATTAGGTCTACTAAAGTTCCTCCACAGGGAACTTCATTCCTGAATGGGGAGAGGGGCTCCAGGAAAGCACAGCCTCTGTTCGCTGTTTAAATTCAGAAGCAAAGACTACACAACTCTGTGCATATGGGCTTTCAGTCGTTACCCACATTGCATTATATTCAGTATTTTAAGATCTATATATTCATGGGGAAAATTTAAATGGTGAAAATTTCCATCGTTAATATGTGGCTGCACTTATGAATGGAGAAAAATGAAATGGGTTAAAGAATCAAACATTAAAACTTGGGGACAGGTTTATATCTTGTATTTTCTACTTCATTTATCTGATTTTTCTTTCTTTCTTTCTCTTATTTTACATACCGATCCCAGTTCCCTCTCCCTCCCTGTCTCCCTCCCACTCTCCCTCCCTCCCATGCCCCACAACCATGCTCCCATCCCACACCCCCTATTCCACAGGGAGGCTAAGGACTTTCAGGAGGGATCAACAAAATCTCTTAAGTCATTTGGAGTAGGGACTAGGCCCTCCTTCCTGCCTCTAGGCTAAGGAAGTATCCCTCCATGGGGAATGTGCTCCAAAAGTCCTTTCGTGCACTAGGGATATATCCTGGTTCCACTGTCAGAGGTCCCTTAGACTGCCCAGGCCTTCTAACTGAGACCCATATTTGGGGGGGGGGGGTCTGAGTCGGTCCAATGCTAGTTCCCAACTATCAGTCTGGGGCTCCATGAGCTCCCCCTTGTTCAGGTCAACTGTCTCTGTGGGTTTCTGTAGCCTGGTGTTGACTCCTTTGCTCATCACTCCCCCCTCTCTGCAAATGGATTTGTTTTTATGAATGTATTCCTCACCTAGGACTAATGTATGAAATAAATATCTCAAAGTTGCATGGCTATTCAAAGGTAGAGAAGGACTCACAATGTGAGTGTTCCAGCACATTCTTTTTCAATTTAAAACAGTGTTGCCATGCCTATACTACAACCTTCATAGATAGTTCGCATTTTGAGAATAGCGCAAAGAAACTGTTGCAGTCATTTTAATAATACACATTATTTAATACAAAATATTCAAACTAGTATTACTGCAACATGAAATCAACATAAATAAATTAATGAGATGTTCATTGTCTTGTAGGTTGTAATCCCTCAAACTCTGATGTGTAGTTTATACCTATAAATTACACATTGCCTTTTGGAATGTGATTTTCTGCACCAGAAGTGCTAGACAGCCAGGGATGGCAGGTAGCTTCTGCCTTTCAGTTATGGTTTCTAAGAGCACTGAAAGCCAAGGTCCTCTGACAAGTCAATTGTCTTAGAAAATAATGGAGCTCTAATGATAAAACACTGAAGCTTATCTACAAATACTTTTCAAAATAATCTAAGTTGGGCCTGGGAAGATGGCCCAGTTAGTGAGAACTTGTTGAGTATGCTTGAAGACTTGAGTTTAGATCCCCATCACAGCAGGTAAAAGGCAGTTAAAAGCCTAATGTCTGTTACAGTTCTGGGTATTGGGTGAGTGGAGACAAGAGGAGCTTTGGGGCATGTTGACTTCCACTCAAGTTCCAGGTTCAGTTAGAGACCTTGTCTCAAGGGGAGAAAGAGGAGGTGACAAACCAAGACACTTTAAGTCCCCTTCTATACACACATATGCATACCACATATGAACAGTTGCACACACACCCCTGCACACCCCGCCCCTGTATATCCTAAAGTGGATTTAACTTTATTCCTCTATTAGTGACATTTTCATTTGGAATACAGTGATTTTTTTTGTTTTAATTTCTGTGTGTTTACTTTTTACTTACTACTTACAAATTTTTCTTCAATGGAGTTTTAACATCCACCCACCATGTAGGTTTTGGAACTATTAAAATTGATGCGCAGTGTTCTTCCAGCTGCTTCAGATATTCACCCATTTCATCTATTTTTAGTTAGTATCTGTAAAAGAATAAGACCATCAAACAATACACACTTGTCCCAAATAAATAAAAGACCACAATGGAAGAGGTAAAATTATAAAACTCTTGGAAGAAGACCTGTACAAGTTTTCATAACTGTGGCTCAATCAATGATTTATTTGACTTGACATCACAATTATA